GAGTCTTCTAAATATCACGTGGATCACGAGATTAAACTTCTATTTTTAATCGTTATTATAGTAAAATACAAAATGTAAATATCGTTTCGATCCGCATTGCGTGTTCCACACCTATAGAGTTCAGCTGGCGGTGAGTCGCGCTGAGTACCATCGAGGCCGTAATCCGTCAGCTGTTACCTCTCCCAGGCCTTCGTGGAGTCCTTAATTGGTTTGGAAACCTTCGTGCTTGTATCCATTTAAAGCCAGTGCCTAACCAGATTGCCGTAACGAAACGTTCTGGAAAACCATTGACTTTTACTCTCTATTGCGAAAATGTTTTGCTAGTCTCATAGTAGATTTGTTCGAAGTTTTTTCATCCAATTTCTCGTAATGCTGCTATATTTGTGTTATGCAAAAAGTTAAGGAGTTGCAAAAAGGAGTAATTTGGTAATGGGGTAGTTTTTTTCCGTCGGTGAATGGTACGGCGGGTACGAATATAATATTCAACTTTTACACAAATTACTTTTCTATCGTGCCGGTTATCAGCCCCTATTATTTTATCATTAACCATCGCAAATACCAAATGGTCTTATTAGTCTAGGTAATGATACTTGATTCGTTATTTTATGGAACTATTTAATTGGAATTAGACGACTATAAAGATTGCAAATAAAATTTACTATTTTATGATTTCATTTGCTGGGTTTAGTAGAGAGTATCTTGTATGAAAATAGTTGCGACAATTCTTGCCGAAAATCGTGTACTTACAAATGCGCATACACAAAAGACAAGGACTAAAAAAATCGAATGCCTCAAAACATAGGTAATCAATTATTAATATTGCCGAAGTCGACTCACATATTTATATTTAAGCTATTATCATGAACAGTATGGAAAGAGAACGTATTATTTAAATTTCTTACTTTACAGAGAAGGGAGGGAAGTGATTTTTGCGTAATAAGTATGTTGAGATGCGTATTTTATTATTTAATTAATCTATTTATTAGTTTATTTGAAATATTTATTACAAATAATTTGACAAATAAAATTGTGTACCTAATAGAGGTTTCATAAACTTCACTCAGCATGTTATTTACTCGACTAGTAACTAATAGCCATAAACAAATATTAATAACTTGGATTTTCTATATTGCATACGGCATAATGGCCCAAGAATATAGATTTCTAGTACAATATATGTTAAGATTGGAAGGCACAGAACACTCATCAATCAAAGAAAGCCGCAACCTTAGAATTTTAAACCAGACTCAGAAATTTGCCACATGCCCCATTACAATTGATAAATTGAAGTATTTTTTATAAAAATGCAAGGTAAACACGAAAGATGTGTGTGAACAATAGGATAATGTTAAACGAAGCGAAGGGATAACTTAGTGACCCGTGAAGAGGGCTGCCGCACCTGCCGCGGACCCTCACAAATCTGGCCCTCGCAGCTTACCTCTTTGTAGTATATGGAAAACAAAGAAGCAATATTTAATCGGTATAAGCGATCAAATTCTTTCGGCGTTTCGCGTCGTTTGTAACTGTGTAAATGCGGAATTAGGTTTGAAGATAGATTCTTACAGAAAAGAGCGTACCCATTTTTAAAAGGCCGGCAATGCTCTTGTGAGCCATCGACGTGTGTGAGTGGGCATGTTGTGAGTGTGAGTATCACTTAACATCAGATGAGCAGCTAGTTCTATAAAAACAGGTTAAATTTTCTCCTTTTTCAATCTGATATGATTGATATGATGTAACTTAAAATTGAACGAACGCAAAATTGACATAAAACAACACCTACAGCCTTCCTTATACTTTGCCCATAACTACAAAACCCAAAAGTGTATTTTTTTATTTACGCTAGCAACCGAAAACCCACTGAACTAATTTAAAAAGCGAAATGTAAAATGACCCCGACATTTCCTATGATTTACTTTCTGTTATGGTTGTTCTGTAAATTTTGCCTGTACTGAAAATCGAAGCTCGCGATGTATCGATAACGCACAACGATTTAAAAAAGTAATTCTCAATAAGTCAATTAAACATTTGTCGGTGCACGCACTTGGGGTTGCTCATCGTTCCCAATCATTTAAATTACCTTTTGTTGTTGCCCTTTTGAGTTAAAAACGAACCCATTTATACGATATATTAAAATTTGAATAGGTAATATAAAATGAAACATTATTAAACATTATTAATTTTAAAAATTAAGGAAGATCGAAATAATTTATATATAAAAAGAAATGATTAAACGCCTATATAATTGCTATAGTAACATAATAGATTCTTTTTATTTATTTTTAACAACTCATAAAAATATCGAAACCCAATATTTATTATAATGTAAAATAGAATGTCAAAATATTAAGTACTAATATGGCAGAGAATAATAAACTAATAACACTTATATACATTTATTACTCTAATATAGACCTATGTAGTGGGCTTAGGCTGTAGGCAATTTAAAGATATTATATATTTTTAATACTGGCATCACAGCACGAACAATACGTAAATCAAATAATAGAAGTAATCGTGTGGACTGCAGCGTTCTGTTGGCGGTTAGAACTAAAAGAAAAATAGTCGACTTCGCATGTGTGTATAAATTTAAAATATTTTGGAAATAAATATAGCGATGAATGAATCTTTTATTCATAAAAGCTAAATTCCTACTTAGTCTGATTGCACTCGTTTAACAAAACTATTCTTGCGTCTCCTTCTGTACAATTGTGTTTTCGCTGCGATGGAAAGTCAATAATTAATAAATTTATTGCTTATGAATTAAAATGTTACTCATAGGTTAACATTAGCATTTTAATTATGAAATGTTGTTGTATTTGTAATCCGATTTTGAGATTATTCGTTAAAAATAGAAAACTTTTCCTCTATATCTAATAGATAATAATAATAATAAATCGTTTTTATATATCTAACATTAATTATAACACAAACGCACATTCAGCTTTTTTATGGCATACAGGTATGCAAATGTCTTATAATCATCGTAATTTCATAATAATAAGAGCAGTTAAGTTTTTTATAATTGTTGTCAAAACTTATGGTCTAAATACCACATTAAAAGGCGCCTTGACTTTACGGAATGGAAAGTAAATTGTAAGGAAGTTCGCTTTGCGCTCGAACTATCAAAGCATCACCGTAATGTTAGTGACTCAGAGCGAATCATTGCAGAAGTTAATCAGCATTATATCCATTCTTTTGCTTAATTTTTATATAATATAAGTGAATTTTAAGTAAAATTCCGTCACTCATGAATATACTGAAATTTTAGAAACGTTTTATTATTTCTACGAAGTAAGGCTACAATGGTTGAAATATGTTTTTAATAATGTTCGTAGTTAATGCGCGTCAACTTATCATAATTTCTTTCTTTATTTCTTTTAAAGCCATTTTTGAAATCCGTATTTCATACCAATGTTTTTGAAAGGATTTGTGAATTTGTGCATAGACTTAAGTAGGTAAAAGATTATCCACAAATACTAATAATATCGTGAATTAGTTGGTAATTATATAGCGTGATTAACCTCTAGGGTTGCCTGGATACGACTTCCGGCCTAAGGCATAGAAATAAATGCAATATAATACGGTAAAAATTTATTTTCAGTACTAGCGTAGGTCAGTTAAAAAAGCAGTTGATATTAAGAGGGGTGATTCTATGTAATGATTTATGTTTTCTAGAATAAGTATTGTTTTATAACATTGAAATTTATTAACTCGATATCATTCGTGTTAGTGAAAACGTAATATACGTAATCACAGAATGTGTAGCATAAAATGTCTTTTGATTTTACAGAATACCTACTTAATTTCAGAATAGTGTAATTTTATATTGAAGGTTTATTTTCTTTATTATTTCTGTACGAACTACATGTCATGTTGTGTGCTTGAAGAAATAATATTGTACTTGTATGTTACCTCTATGTGTACTAGATAGACATACATATGCACTAAAGGAGGTTATTCAGTAACTTAGGTAGAAAGTGGTATGTTTTAAATAAAAAATATGCTATATCGTTGAGCGCAATGACATTAAAATACAAGAATAATTCACCAATATTGTACCAAATCATTTAAACAAATTGACGGCAAATTCAATTGTTGAGAGATCTAACAATAAACAATTATAAAGCGCTTAAGGAGCGCGAAATAAAACAAAGGCAGACGCACATGTGCAAGTCGTAAAGCCTGGTTCAGGTAAAACCTTTTGTTTTTCGAGTGACAATGCGCTAAGTACTAACACATGTTGGCGATTCAGTTTGTATTAGATTGTTGTAACTTGTAAAACACCTGCAACGGATTTGAACTTCCATTTTATATTTAAAGAAATTCAATTAACAAAAGGTTTGCGTGGTATTTAAACAAAACATTTAATTTTAATGTCTTGAATTAAAAGTAAATATTTTTATCACCTAGATTCTAATAGTTTAGAATCAATGGTATATATCTAATATAAAGAATAATTATGTTTTAATTTGATAAAATATTTTTTTACGTTTACGTTTTAGTTATTGAGCGTGTTTTGAAGTGTGTATAAAAATTGAATGAATGTTGTCGATACAATATAAAGCGAGCTTACATGGGCTTATTAAAACACTCTAAATGAAAATCATTATGTCCGAGCATTCATAGCACCCATAACGAACCCGGCCTCAACAATGGGCTTAACGCGCGCACTCATTACAAAAGCGACATAACGTAACGTACGAAAGCTTTTTCAAAGAGTATACTTAACTTTTTTTGTTGGTAAGGCTTTTAAGATGCTGTGATTGGTTATAGTGCGCCCCGCCCACTTTGGTGCGGCATGCGATTGGTCGATTTCAATGAAGCACCCTCAGTGAGTGAGTGGGTTGTCAAGGCAAGGGCGGGCGGGGTGTTCTTCACCCCAAGGACCACTCGAGGGTTGTTTAGTGCGGGTGCGGCGTCACGAGACGTAGCACGTGTTAACGCGAGTGTTCTTACCAGTTTTCAAAATTATTCCGAAAGCGAGTTCTCCCGGTAGGGAGATGAAGTGTGAAGAAGGTGATAGTGAGCGCAGCCCGCCGTTGCTGCCACCAGCGTCTTTGTTGGCATGGAGTCCTATTTTGCTCCCTCCATGGGGCCCGGCCTTCCTTCCGGCGCTATACCCGGCGGCTTTTCGATCCGCTTTTCCCGGGTGAGATTTTAAGATACTACACAATAACAAGATGTTTTATTAACGAGATTATTTCATGCAATTCGTTGTCTTAGTCGGCTAAAAACCAATTTTAAGAGAGTATTCGACAATATCTATATTTTAAGTTGAATAAGAGAAATACAACTAAAATGTATCAATGTATTTTAGTACCTGTATAAAGTCTTAATTAAAATTTTAAGGTAGGTATATAAGTTTTTGTGTAAAGCGTCTACAAAATATTAAATTGATGATAAATTTTAAAAGGGCGCAGCGGGATTTCCTTTTATCACGTTTTAGAAAAAATACTATACTAATAAAACTAACAGTACAGTATTTTGTTGTTTAATTTAATTTATTAACTGACTTCAACTTGCATCTGCGTGTTAAGTAACCAGAATAACAATATAAGAAGCGTATGAAAGTTATATTATTAAGCGTACTAAATTATAGAACAAACTAAAGATTCATTTTAAAAGACAAAAACGCTTGGCAATTGTTCTAATTATATTGTTATAATTTGTTTTGTTATCTTTGAAGTGTTGTGAATATGTGTGTAATGGTGAATGTGGTAAATCATAGAACAGATTTTTTCTTATGTAACTTTAATGACGTTGTGGTTTATGACATTTTCCTTTGAATAATTGTAATGTAGAGGGTGGCTAAAACTTGCTAAGTTTCTTGCCCGTTCTTCTCAGAACAAGGCCTCCTGGTAGTTTTGCGAACGGATGGCGTAGTCTTGCTCTTTCGCGAATTTCGTAAACGTTTTTGACCTTCATAAGGGCATGCTTAAGACGCATCTAAATAGAATAAACGTATTTTGATTTAATTTGATTGATATTGTATTATTATGAACACATTTAATTTACCTATAAAATAATCACAAATAAACTCAAAAGCCGTCGTGACGAGGATGCGTCCGTTTGTTAATAGTAATGTTTACATCCATTTTACATCTGACTTACAACCTGCTAAGCCTCTTGAAAAGCCGCCTATTCAAATTGTCACGTACGGGTCGCGGGAACTTTAATTTTGATATTTTAATAGAGCCGACTTGAGCTGGAGAAGTTCTTTATAAAAGTCACGTATTCTGGAGAGGCCCTCGGTTGACAATAGTTCTAATATTTGTGATCGTCACTTAAGGAATGTGTTAAGTGTTGTAAAAAATATTTTTACGAATCGCCGCTTCTCTTCTTTTCTTACATTCTAACATAAAGTCAAAGTCATTTATTTTAGGTAACATAATGTACACTTATGGACGTCAAAAAATAAATATATATTAAATGCTTCTAATTTTACATTTACTACCAGTTCTCAAATCAAGGGCGTAGAACGGAAGAGAAGAACTCACCGCAACTCTTTTTAATTGCCAAGGTTTTTGTTTTACACAATGTTTGTAAGCTGCAACCATTACAGCATGTTTCACATGACTTCTTAAGTAATTAATAATAATAAAATAAATTAAAAACATAGATTTGTCCTCTATCACATAAATAAAGAACAGTGAAAAAAACACGTATCTTCCACGTTTTATTGACGTTGGACATAATAAGATGTATTTTATTATTAAATACATATTAAAATAAAAGTAATGAAATATCGAGTTCTGGTAACAACTTGACGTAGGTATGTGAATCGTTCCTACGAAATATTATCTGTGATGATCATAATAACTGTCAAAAACACTGGCTACGTAGTACTATCAACAAGCCTTAAAGTCTAAGAATTACACTATTGATTAATGTTTTACTCAGTTTTACTATATATTTAAAAATGTTGTTGAAAAATATACTTTTTTAAGTTGTCATAAATAGTTGGGATTAATATCTTATTCTGTTTACTTCTATTTAATCATTTTTAATTTTGTAATCTGTTTTGTCTAAAATTGTACAAAGATAGATAGAGGTAGTTTGGGAAGATAGAGGTAATTTCCCAAACTACCTCTATTGATTTAAGGCTAAATTACCTCTAATGAATTAATTATAAGGCCTTTTAATTTAACTACCATCACTTTACAATTGAACAGTTCCAAATTATGTATAGTTATGTACATTATCTATATTAAATTCGACGATCTAATTAAACTAGGTTATTTTTATAACCAAGGCTGCAATTCTAGTTAATAAAGTCAATTTATAAGATATTCATTATAGTATTTTGTGTACGAAAATTAAAGTTTAAATATTTTTATAGGTTGTTGGATAGTATGAAAATGCCTGGGCAGCGGCCGGGATTCCAAATATCCGACATCCTTGGTCTAAACGAGGCTAAGGGCCTAGATACGACTTCGCACAACATCAGTGGCTGTTCTCTGGACATACCTCCTTACCCGCCCCAGCATCCGTATTCACATGAACTACTGAGGCATCACCAGCCCTGGCTCACATTAGATCACCATGATAGTGCAGGTAAATTATTTATTCTATGTCGTCTATAGAAGAAAGAATAGAAAATATGTTATCAAAATAATGAAATGGAAGCGCAATTAGATTATTTAGGCACTAGATCAGCATTCAGTGCCCGACACATGTCGTCAATATCTTAGAAAGAAGAGTCTATTGATTGGGCTTTGAAGACACGATCTCACACTTAATAATGGCGTGGACCATTTACTTCTGTTTTTCTATAGATACAACTTTTATGACGCTAAGAATATTATATGTACGAAATAACGGGGAGTACACTTTTGTACTACCTACCTACCTAATTAAAAAATTAAAATATAGGTAATTTCAACTTGTTTGTCACACAATTTATATCTGTCAGAGACTCCTAATAACATTTGGTTCTGCACTTCTCGCACTCATAATGTTTCTTTTTTTAGTTTTTCTCTTTAACTAGGGTTGCCTGGAAGAGATCGCTTATTAGCGATAAGGCCGCCCGTTGCATGCCTTATAATTTTTATGTATTGTTTTGTGTTTCTTTTATTTTTATTGCAACGAAGTGTAAATAAATAAAATAATAGAGTGTAACAAAATATTTTCTATGGAGCGTTGACTTGACTTAGTTTCAGTTAGCTACGTATACGTACGCGTATTTTCATACCTAGGTGGTAAAAGTTCTCTATAGAAACGGCGATAAGACTATTTGTCTAAGATAGGATATTTTTAAAATACCTACATTTCTATCACATTCCCTGATCATGAGCCACCCACGCGTAGTTTTTGATAATTCTCCGCGTATCTCTCTTACTACAAAGGGATCGACTTATTGCATATCACATTTATCCAAAAGATAAAATATGTCAATATGTGCCGTTTATATTGATATATAAATGTTGTGAAAAAGATAAAACATATCTAGATAATTACATACTGTTAGTTTGAGTATTACGAAACACCATAATGATAGGAACTTATATTTTATATTTTTAATTTGTTAATCTTGGAACATAAATAGGATACAACTAAAAATCAATATTATGTAAAAAACAATAAATAGCTGCGTGACAAACGATATTCATTTGTTTTATCAATATAAAATGGCTCAAAACTAGTCCATGCTTTAACTACCAAATTTCGATTGTTCTTTGTTTTTGATCGATTACAAAAATAATAAATTTGCGTGATTTTCTATGGATGAAAGCGTAAAATATAATCATTAATGTTACTTATATTAAAACAGTATGATTTCCCTACATTGATAAAATTTTGAGTGTTTTGTTCTTTGAAATTTTTGAGTATCATCATTTACGCATATCATTTATCGCCTATGAAATATCGTAAAAATGTAGATCCACTTGAAAGGAATTGGTACTGAGATTATTTTTCAAATAGGTACTCCTCAAATCGAGTGGCTACCACTAATCTTTGGTCATTAATTATTTTTATCGCTTATCTAATATTTTGGCCCACTCGATTGCCTGTACAATTCACATAATCCATGATTACACTGATTTTTATGTAGATATGATAATTGACTTTTCATTTAGTCTTTACTTTTTGTTAGGACATCTTTTTTGAATGTATCCCTTTTAGTGAAACAGGTCCCTATTGGTTAATTTTTTGAGAAAGATAGCTATAAGTGGTTGAAATTTATTTCTACGTTAAAACTAAATAGGATTTGGCAACTTTTAAGCAAATTTGTAAAACTTGTACGCTCAATTAGGTACAATTCAAAGTTGTAGGTGCAAATTCTTAATTGGAAAATATTATTTATCAAATTAATAATATTTAACAAATAGTATGTTGTAGCTTTCGATAGCTATGCTATAGACTATGTTTTGTTCAAGAAATTTCAGGAATGTTCCAGAATAGTTAGAGACCTATAAGAGTTTTAAATGCTATCCCGGAAAATAATAAAATATTATTTAATTTAAAAAAAAAATGACGAATTGTCTTCAATTGCCTTACTAAATGGTAAATCTGAATCCCGCCCTTATTTCTCCCGGGGTTGGTTTAATTGTTTAACTTTGGGGGTGCGATGTGGAACAAATTTGTCACCAATAGCTGATGCCTCGTGAGCAGCTGTCGGCTATCAATTACATTGTTTGCGGGTGTTAGGGGGCTATTCGTTCATTATTTGATGACGTTTATAGATTTTATTGTATTCTATCGCTTTTATTCGGTATCTTCCTGGTTCAGGCCATCTGCAATTTATCCCTACCAACGATAGAGGATTTATTAAACTTCTACTTATATGGAAAATCGTAAACATGTGTTGTTAAACGTTTTTTATGAAAACCTGCCTTGCGATTCTGTATCTCACTTTTCGAACTCACACATGCCAAATCATAAAATGACTGCTTCACGACTGATTTGAGCGCGACCGCGCCGCTGGGAAAACCGCTGTGTGAGTTCGAAAAGTGAGTTACAGAATCGCAAGGCTGCATTTCTAACTTACACTGTCTTATTGGGTATAATTAAATAAGCAATTAAAACATTTTTGCTTATTTTATTCATTTTCGTAAATATATTTTTATACTCACAATTTAAATTATTTTGCTTAATTTGATCTATATCGTAAACAGATTTAATATGGGGTTCTTAATACTCATAATTTTTTAATGCAGAAAACATTATTATTTCATATATATCATCGATTAGCAATACCTAGATTTACTAATTAGCAGCCATCTTGTTTCGGTTAACCTATAACAAGATACTTAGGTGAACGGGATTATTCAAGTAGAAAACATTGAACAATGAGACAGCTGAGGGGGGTGGGAGTGGCACCCCCTGAGACACGCCCAGCCCCCGCCACATTAACATATCCGTGTGAAAGCTTTACTAAGGGGACACTGAACAATATAGCTTTTATATTCGAATGTAGTTAAATAGGTCGGATTAAGAAGATTTCAATGTGAGTGTTTAGCACTACATTTGTATGTAGTGGTTTGAGTGCTAAGCCTGGGAAGATTTTGTTATGGGGCTACTCTATGTCGTAATGTCAATCATTTTTGTATCCCTAATATTTAGCTCTTATATGAATTATACATGCAGTAAAGATTTGTAAATGTAATTAAAAAACCTTTTTGAATATTTTTATTTGCTAAATTATATACATTTTGCACACGAAATATTTTGTTAAGAATTTAAGACGTGAGATTAGTTAATGTAATATTTATTTTGTTAAAGGTATTATCGGTCAACAAGCGAGTCCGGACAGTACATCTAGAGCATCAGAAATATCATATGTTGGACCCTCAGCCACTTCGCCCTCAACTGGCCCACGTCATGACCACGACCACGATCACGACAATGACCACGACATCATAGATCACGATGACGATAACGACGATCACCCTCCCAGCAACAACGACCCTAGTCTAGTACATAAGAAACGCAAACGGCGCGTGCTATTCTCCAAAGCACAGACCTACGAATTGGAGAGAAGATTTAGGCAACAGAGATACTTATCAGCACCAGAAAGGGAACACCTCGCTAGTTTGATAAGATTAACGCCGACGCAGGTGAAAATATGGTTTCAAAATCATAGATACAAAACGAAACGCGCCGTTCAAGAGAAGGGCGCTCACGATTTGAATGTTGCTGGTCTGAATTCTCCGCGACGCGTTGCAGTCCCCGTTCTGGTCAAAGACGGAAGGCCTTGCTTAAGCAAGCCCGATGGCTTGCCACCTTTAGGCATGTCCCTGCCCCCATACCAACCAATGCACCATCAGCCTCCAACGGGGCACTCGCACCAACCCACTGGTTGTTGGTGGTGAAGTTCGAATACTATTCTGTGGTAACTAGTCGTTATATTGATTTTGCAATCGTATGTAATGCAGGTGAATAATATAACTTATCAAACTGACTCACGCATTTGGATCATGATATGATAAGAAAAAGTTTACAGAGAAATAAACGGCGTTAAATTCAATATTGCAATTGTGTGATCGCATTGAATCATAGCTCGAATAGAGAGAATGTATTTTTGTTAGCATTGGTATTGTGGAGTTCCTATTATTTTAACTTAAATTATCATAGTTTGAAATATTCTAGAGATTTGAATGTAAATGCGTAATGTGATTGTTTATTTATACCGTAATGCTAAACTTGTTTAAAGAGTTTTTAGGTTTTTTCTGACAGTACTTGACATACATTCCAATTGATTTGTACCATAGTATATAAGAAATAAACAGATGTTATAAGATTGCAATATTTAGAAAGTAAGAAACAGTATTAAAATAGTCGAAATATGTTTAGAGTATTTATGTATATTCCAAAGAAAACTATTTATAAATGTGTGTAGAAATGTAGTATATTGTATATTATGTACATACTATGAACTGTTTATTAATTTTTTTTAAGATGAATTCCTACAATTCATTGATCGATGTATAGCCAGAATAGCCGTAGTCTTTGTAAAAAGTGTTATATATAAATTATTCACATTGAGTATTAAATAAATTAAATATAAAACTGATTTTATTGAAGCTAATCCGCTAGAGCTTGATTTGAATGTTATAGATTTGCGATCGGGAGATTTATAATTTTGGAGATAAATCTCTTCTAAATTGAAATACCTGTCTACTTAGAGTCAGGATACATCTTGGTCTTTAGAATAAATAATTGAAATCAGTTACTCTAACTCACTTTGTCATAGGAATTGAAGCCCGAAGATATTTAAATGACATAAGGATTTATTTAGAGACAATCTTTCCGATTCTGATTATTCTTTATTAATGATAAACGAGTTACTAGTTTTATTAATGATAAAATGAAACAGATACAGAACTCTGAGGCCCAGACCTAAAAAGTTTATAGTGCAACAGATTTAGAGATTTAGTTTAAAAATAAAAGAAACTTTGGATATACTTTACTTTCCTTGGAAATCTGTCAAATAAATCGACTTTTACCAGTTGTACACTCCAGAAATACTCGGAACTATTATGTACTTCACAAATCCAGTCAGTTTTTCTTTTCATAGTTATAGTGATATCGCAGCCAACTAGCTTAATTAGCCGTTCAATTAACAACCTAGCCTTTTAACTAAACGGCGCCGTTTAACTAGCGGCCTGAAAGATAATGTTAATGCGAATGTGTGTCACGTATGTTAACTGAAATTCTTATTATATTTATTGATAGCTAGCTATACTTGGAATAAACCTAGCTTATAGTTTATAGCAAATTAGAACGAGGCACTGACCATTGTTTGCCCGTTAAATATTTACTGAGCTTATCTTATCACGAGCTGCCGATAGGCCGCGACCCGATTACTGACACTTGTCATACCTACCATGTCTTTACACCTGTCCTATATTACGCTCCCATGTAATGGTCTTAGGATTTTTATAAGATACAAATTACAACAATATAAAAAATCTAGGCCGCTCAAGCCTCTAAAGAGAACTCAAATGTAACGAAGAAGCGAAGGTTTCTTGGTCCTATAATTTGCTGAGGTGCAATTACCATCTTTGGTCTCTGTCACACGTTGATCGTGATATTTCACTGTACCAGCGTTGTGAGAGGATCAACTATTAGCTTGAGTCTACAATAGATTTTGAAAAACTAATTATAATTTGCGCTGAGACCGAGTATCAAACCCGATAAGCGTCACTGTCGTTTTACCAAGGCCTTTTTCAAAACCGAGGCCCCCTAGAACAACACGTACACGCAAAACATGAAAAGATTTTGTTACAAAAATATGTGTGATTTTATTAAAATTCTTAGATGAAAAGAAAAACTTTATTGCACGTAATCAAAAAGGATGTATAGTTAAAAGAGAAATCCCCACACTAGGATTCCCTGTGTCGTGGGCAGCTACTCTCTTCCATTTGTCATATTAATAATTTTAGGTAGGCTTCAGCGGCGTAACAATAGGGTGGCAGGGCTGGCAAAATGCCACGGGCCCCGGATACAAGAGGGCCCCTGCCCAAGAGATATCATGTTCTATGGATGAAAGTGAAGTCTCCAATACGCATTGGGCTAGCGTGGGGACTACAGACCATTCCCTCTCGCCTAAGAGAGGAGGCCTATGGCCATTAGTGGGACATTATATACAACGTGTGATTGAGTACGCTGAAAATCTCGATGTTTATTAAAATTAAACTGTGTACAACGTGACGATTTTTACTAATAGGGCCCCATCAAAAGAATTTACCACGGGCCCCAGATGGTATAGTTACGCCACTGCTTGCCTTAATAAATTCCACATAGCTGTTACAATTTTATAATTAAACTACTGTTGCACTTGAAGAATACTTTCCGTTTCAGCATAGGACAGATTAAGAAGATGTTACGTAAGATTGTTAGTAAATGTATAAAGTTTTGAATCGAAAGTGAACATTTTGTTTTTAAGAAATAGTATATATAATAATATAAAAACTTGAATAAATCTACTGCGAAAACGAAAAGATGATATCTGTAGTTTATTTATAGGAAGAAGGTACCCGCGACTTGGTCGGAAGGGTTGGGGTAATTTTTTAAAGGTTTTTCTCGATTTCCGGCAAACTTCAAGTCTTCGAAGAAAGTTAAATAGCAAAGTTGAGGGCAAAAAAAAGCTTACCACTATGTGGATCACCAGCTGCCCATAACCTAAAATTTATGTGAAATTCAGAACCAATTGTTTTTACCTTTGACATTTTAAGGGTCCTTCAATGAAAACTTACCTTTCTATGTCCCAATTCCCCTTTTTTTTTTTTTTTTTAAAATTTTTTTTTTTTCCCCTTTTTTTGAATGCGACTACCATGGTCAGTTTCTTAAATGGGTCCCGGGTATGACCGGCTGGACGAACATCGATGTGATGAGCATTTGTGTTGTGCTGAGGTCTTCTGGGTGTTTAAATATGTATTTATATGTCTATCTATCTAATAATATGTAGATATTCGTTGCTGTCCTATCAAACTTAACACAGGTAATTGGTGTGTTTTTTTTTAAAAAAAAAAAAAAAAAAATTTTTTTTTTTAAAAAACCCCTTTTTTTTCATGAGCCTCCTGCCCACTTCAAAAAGTCGATGTGCCCAGTTCTGAATTCTAAATAAAAAAATATAAGTAACTTCTGAAAAGCAAAATCATAACGCTATTTCCGACTACGAAATTTTGAAATCTTCGATTGAAAATTTGGCAGTTTTTATTTCAAAACAGAACTAAAACTTCCTATTCTATTATTAATTGCGACCTACAAAGTCAGTTTTAGATATTTTATTAAATAAATATTTTTTTTTAACAAAAATTTTTTTTTTTTTTTTTTTTTTTCTCCTTTTTTTTTGATACGCATAAATCCTAGACTTTTTTTTTTTACTTATTTGATTTGAAGACCTAGCAAAAAATTTTTTAATAATGGGAATATTTATCAAGAATAGTGTAGCATTGTAATAGTGTAAGAATTTTTAAAATTGGCCTGAGAGTTTATTCATTACAAACATACAAAAAATACATATAATTTCTATTTATTATATTAAATTATATTAAGATTAGATACAAACAAGTGGTTTTAAATTTTTCCTATTATGAAAACATACCCATGTAGAAGAGACACAGTAATATGTAATTTATGTAAGATATATTGTATAATGTGAACCCAGAGCTGGTACTTTCCTCGCTCAACGATTAAGTATCGCAATACAGCGAGAAAATGCTGCCAGCGTTGAAGGTACATTGCCAAAGAAGTATTTAATATGTATTTTTTATTGACACTCATAAGTGTACATTGTGTTACCTAAATGAATACATAATTTTGAATTTGAACACGGACCAAACTTTTTACATTTGTTTTAATTTTCTTTTTATTAATTTTGAATTATTTTTATTATTACTATGTATGTTAGTCTATAAATTGACGACGTGTATGTACAATATTATGTTCACACGTCCCTACTTATTGCCCATGTTTCTTTTAAATACCTACTTTAACAAAGAACTAACGCCTCCGTGCATTGATTGAGAACCTTTCAATGTCGATGTTATTAAATAAATACACTCACAATAAGCGTCGGTAGTTCGACAATAGCAAACAAACTGTGAATTAATTTCGATGAATTCTCAAAACGATCCGTAGTTGAAAAGGGCGAGAGTAAGCCGATTAGCGACAACAAATACAGCCTCCGGAGCCACTGACACACGGGGACAAATTGCCAATCTATTATTGTGAAGGGCATTGAAAATTGATACTATTTTATATTAAAATAGTAGACGAGCGACTTCGGAATATTTATGAAAGTATTCTAGAGCTATTTCCCAATATTGTTTTTTACTTAGATTGTTTGGAAATTAGTTAGTGAATAAACGTAAAGATTTTAATAAATTAGACCACAGATCTATGTGGAAGCTAAAAATGTATGACCAGTTATCTCTCTTATTTAATTTAAGTTTTAACGCTAGGAAAAAGGTTTTTAACAACTAGGTATCGCTAACTAGGTATAGAATATTTACATGTAGTTATTTAGTAATAAATTCATTAATTTTACGTAACGGGACATTCATTAAAGAATGGGCATGGGACTAAGACAAGACAGTTTTCTGAAGACGTTTTTATCCACCATACTAGTGTTATTTGCGTACATAGACAGAATAATAATAATACTTTATTAACAACAAACAGAAGATAAAATAAAAGAAGAAATAGGATGTAAATGGATGATCTTCCAGATACTACTGAATATGATTAAAGAAGCAAAATCTTATATTTTATTTAATAAGATAATATTTCATTTTGTTTATAAATTATATCTCAATGATTTTTTTCGATTCAGTTCGATGTCAAAATGAACCATTCAAGAACGAAA